CTACAAATCTTTCATAGTTGCATCAGTGTCACAGGACCTAATTGGAACCCAGAGCTCTAGCTGTAAAAGCATCTGAGAGTTATATATTTAACTCTTAAGTCTCCTTGATGAAGGAAGACATGATACAAGGTGGTCAAATGGAATTTCAATGAGCCAAATCACAGCATACCACACAACTGTATACAGGCAACATTCTTATTCTTTCAGAGGGAGGAAAGAGATGATAAGAGATATCTGTTGACATTGGTTCTCATATTGGTTAAAAAAGATACCTTGTGAGCCATTAATCACTAGGAATAGGGAGTTCCTTAAAAACAAATCATACTGGATAGCTTATTAAAGTGATAAGTAATAGAACTGTATGGCTATAATGTATCTAGATTTTAACAAGGCCTTTGCCTCAGACTTGTATATCATGGGGCAAACTTGTGAAATGTCAAGATAGTGGTATAGTTAAATGGATTTGTAATTAATAGACAGATTAAGAAATGCTGATCTATACTAATAAAAGCCTATGTGGTCACCATGCCGTCACGCCCTCATGCCGTGACACCCTCATGCCATCACAACCCATCACCAGGAGGCTGCGTGCACAATGGGCATGTGGGGGTGGGCGGGACTGCATGAGTGTGGGTCGGTGGGGACTTGACTAGTAGGTGCACTGGGGGAGCGGAAGGTGGCTGCCACTGCCCAGGGCCAGCCTGAGGCTCAGGCAAGCCACCAATGCCATTCTCAGTTATCCCACAAGAAGTCTAGGGCCATCCCATTATCTTGCAGGATCTGGTCAGTATCTCTCAGACTGAAACTCATATTGACAAGCTTCACTAAAAATTCACATATAAAACCAGATGCCAATTTATTAAACTATGAGAAATGTGACAGTCAAACTGACCAAATATGGACGTTATTCTTGGCTGCAACATCTGAAAGAGAGCCTGATAAGCAGAACGTTGATTGCAGACCATGGAATCAGACTGAGGAGACGCTGATCAGATTGCTAACAGGCTGCAGTCTCTGACAGTCACAACAGGAATGCAAACATCTGCTGGCTGGCAGGACCTCTGATCTACCTGGGAGGCAATCTCTTGTTTGGCCAGGCAGCGTCAGCATTTGCCTTTCTAACTCCTTTTTATACACTTTTATGATTGATTGCTGTTCTTTCTTTAGATATTTTAATGATTTTAACTAAATTGTTTTGGATTAAAAGTTAGTGGTGTTTTTCTCTTTAAGGTGACTATTTTGATCAGTTTGCTGCTGGTAAAATTACGTAACCTTAAAAATTATAATTTCTGGGAGAAACCAGGATGGCGGTATAGATAAACACTGGAAATTGCTGCCTCCCAAAACAACTTCAAAAATACAACTAAAAGACAAAACGTACATCATCCAGAACTACAGGAAGGCTGGCTGAGTGGAAATTCTACAACTAGAAGGAAAGAGAAAAGCACACTGAGACTCAGAGGAG